TTTTAATTAGCCAAGCATGATGGTGTGCACTTGTAGTCCCAGCTACTCAGGAGGTTGAGGTGGAAGGATCACCTGAGCTCAGGAGTTCAAGGCTACAGTGAGCTATGATCACATCACTGCATTTCAGCCTGGGCAACAGCAAAGTCCCTGTCTAAAAAAAAAAAGAAGATAAAGAGAGACAAAGAGAGGAAGGAGGGAGGGAGGGAGGGAAGAAGGGAGGGAGGGAGGAAAGGAAAAGAAGGAAGGAAGGGGAAGGAAGGAAGGAAGGAAGGTAGGTAGGTAGATTGGTTTCCTTATTTTTAGGAAATACTCTTAAGAGTAAATGAGCAGCCTGTCTACAACTTACTCTTAAATAGTTCCAAAAATTGATAATATGTATATACATATGTACTTAGGTGTCGTGTGTGTGTGTGGGGGTGTGTGTGTGTGTGTGTGTGTGTGAGAGAGAGAGAGAGAGAGAGTGAGCTAGAGAGAAAGAGAAAAAGCGAGTGAGAGAAAATGTAGCAAAATTGAGTAATCCAGGTAAAAAATATTCAAGAATTATTTGTGCTGTTATAACTTCTTGGTAAATTTGAAATTATAATATGTCAAAGTTTTTTTAAATTAAAATCTTCAAGGAAAAACTCCAACAACTTAAAGAATAAAAACAAATTTGCTAATGAAATTTGAATACTGGTTTTGGCAAAATCTGTTTATGGCAGACATATGGTATACTTCTGTATGGCCTTTAAGATATTTTTAGGAACTTTTTTGTTTTACTTTAGAGGAAAGATTAATGTCTATTAAGCAACTTTTTGGTTTAGTCAAATACAATGAAAAATTAGTGCAAATACACATTTTTAAGCATGGTAGGTCAAATGTTTGTTTTGGATTTCTGGTCATGATGGCTTGCAGTGTTTATGACTTGGGCCTCTTATTCATTCTACACACATGGTAATGATACATAAAAGTTTCTAAGAAGAGAATTTTAAGGACATAGCCATGCATAAAGTTAATATAAATTCATCTGTGGACCAGGAACTAAATAAAACCGCAGTGCAGTGAGTGGGACTGTAACCACATGCCCCCTGCGCTCTGGGTTCAGAAGGCGTAGGAAACTGAAAGCTCTTTTCATGTGGAATGGTAGAGACTAAAAGTGTGTACACACAGTGCAGGACACTGGAGCTAGCTAGCCCCTTCTGCCTCTACCACTTTAAGGGAGACTCAAAAAAAGTTATGACTGCTGCCTGAGAAATGGCTCACATAAAACCTGGAGGTTTAGCTAGGTGCAGTGGTACGTGCCTGTGGCCCCAGCTATTTGGAAAGCTGAGGCAGGAGAATTCCTTGAGCCAGGAGTTTGAGACTAGCCTGGGCAACATAGTAAGACCCTGTCTAGTGAAAAAACAAAAACTTTGAGGTGTGAGAGGAAGCAGACAGCCTTGCAGCCAGGTCTTAGTGGTCCAACCTCCTTAGGGGTACAGTGACAGTCTCTATGATATCCCTGTATCATATCAGGAATGGAGCCGTAAGTCATCCAGTGCAAGACCTGGTTCTGAACTAGGATCTATCCACAGGAGAGAGTGAAAGCCTCCTACTTCAGATGAACTTATATGCTGCAATTCCAGAATTCATGAGGAAAACCAGTGTTGAGAAAGTCAATAAACCCAGTAAACATAATTTACTCCAGAGAAAATAAATAGTTGAACTATTTAAAACTGACTTTGAGGCCAGGTTGGGGTGGTTCGTACCTGTAATCCTGGCACTTTCAGCAGCCAAGGTGGGCAGATCACTTGAGCCCAGGAGTTCAAGACCAGCCTGGGCAATACGGCAAAACCCTGTCTCTACAACAAATATAAAAATTAGCAAGGCATGGTGGCACACGCCTGTAGACCTAACTACTTGGGAGGCACTTAACTATCTTTTAAATTCATTGTGTATTCTGTCTGGTCAGCCTGAGTAATGCAGGTTCTACAATGTATCTATCCTATAGGTTTATTTTTATTTAACCTGCAGGTTAAATAAAAATAAATTTAATTTATTTTTAATTAAATTTATTTTTATTTAATTAAATAGATGAGCAAGAGTAGCTGGGATTACAGGTGTGTGCCACCACACATGGCTAATTTTTGTATTTTTAGTAGAGATGGGGTTTTGCCATGTTGGCCAGACTGGTTGATTTAACACAATTTCTTTCTTTCTTTTTTTGAGTTGGAGTCTCATTTGGTTGCCCAGGCTAGAATGCAGTGGCATGATCTCAGCTCACTACAACCTCTGCCTCCTGGGTTCAAGCGATTCTCCTGCTTCAGCCTCTCGAGTACCTGGGATTACAAGTGCCCACCACCACCCCTGGCTGATTTTTTTATTTTTAGTAGAGACGTGGTTTCACCTTGTTGGCCAGGCTGTTCTTGAACTCCTGACCTCACATGATCTGCCTGCCTCGGCCTCCCAAAGTGCTGGGATTACAGATGTGAGCCACTGTGCCTGGCAATTCAACAGAATTTCTATCAAAATTCCAAATAATATTTTTCACTAAAGTGGAAAAGCTAATCCTCAAAATCATATGGAATAGCCAGGACAATCTTGAAAAAAGAGTATAAAATTGGAAGATTCAAACTTCCCAACTCTAAAACTTGCTATGAAGCCATAGTAATTCAAGTATTATGGTACTGGTATAAGGACAAACATGTAGACCACTGGAATAGATTAAGGAGCCCAGAAATAAACTTTTACATATATGGTCATTTGATTTCCTGCAGGTGCAATTCAGTAGGGAAAGGATAGTCTTTTCAACAAATGGTGCTGGGAAAACTGGATACCCACATGGGAAGGAATGAAATTGAACTATAAAACTTATAGAAGAAAACATTGGGGAAAGTTTTCATGACATTAAGTTTAGCAGCGATTTCACAGATATGACAAAAAACACAAGGAACAAAAAATATAAATAAATTGGAGTTTGTCGAAATTAAGCACTTTTGTGCATCAGATGATATATCATGAAAGGGAAAGGACAACCCACACAATAGAAGAAAATATTTGCAAATCATATATCCAATAAGGAATGAATATCCAGAATATGGAAAGAACTCCTGCAACTCAACAACAACAAAACAACCCAATTTTAAGATGGGCAAAGGACTTGAATAGATATTTCTCCAAAGAAGATATCCAAATGGCTAACATATGAAAAGATGCTCAACATCATTAGTCATTGGTGAAATGCAAATCAAAACAATAAGATGCTACTTCACACCTTCTAGGTTGGCTATTTTTTAAAAAGGACAATAGCATGTGTTGGTGAGGTTGTGGAAAAATTGGAACCCTTGTGCATTGCTAGTGAGAATGTAAAATAGTACAGCTGCTCTGGAAAACAATTCAGTTGTTTCTCAAAAGGTTAAACATATAACGACTTTATGACCCAGCAATTGCACTTGTAGGGGTAGATCTAAAAGAATTAAAGAAGGGACTGAAACAGATACTTGTATACAAATCATAGCAGCATTATTCACGATAGCCAAAAGGTGGAAGTAACCCAAGGGTCCATCAACTGATGAATGGATAAACAATGTATGGTATATACATACAATGGAATGTTATTCTGCTTTAAAAAGAAAAGAAATTTATGGCCCTGCAGTGGCTCACACCTGTAATCCCAACACTTTGGGAGGCTGTGGAGGAAGGATCATTTGAGGCCAGGTGTTCAAGACTAGAGACCAACCTGGGCAACACAGGGAGACCCTGTCTCTATTAGTTAAAAAATATGAAGGAAAGAGCAGGGAGGGAGGGAGGGAAAGAAAGAAAAGAAATTTTGATACATGCTATGTGTACAGACCTTGAAAACATTATTCTTAGTGAAATAGGCCAGAATGGCAGATATTATATGATTCCACTTATATGAAGTACTTAGAATAGACTAATGTATAGAGACATAAAGTAGAATAGAGTTGTCAGGGTCTGGGGGTTGGGGAGAATGGGGTGTTGGTGTTTAATTGATATCAAATTTTTGTTGGGGATGATGAAAAAGCTTTGGGTATAGATAGTGTTCACAGTTGCACAGCATTGTGAATATATTTAATGACACTGCATTGTACATTTGCAAATGGTTAAGTGATAAATATTGTGTATATTTTACCACATTAAAAAAGTTTTCCAATTTAAAAAGAGGTAGATCCTACTCACATTCTAAAAAATAATATCAGACGATGAGAAGACTGCACATAAGTTATAGAAAGTGTGTTTTGGGCTTTGTCTTGTTTTTATTTTTATTTAATTTATTTTGAGACAGGGTCTTGCTCTGTCACCCAGGCTAGAGTGCAGTGGCACGATCACCTCACTGTAGCCTTGACTTCCTAGGCTCCAGCAGTCCTCCCACCTCAGCCTCCTGAGTAGCTGGGACCACAGGCATGTGCCATGATGCCCAGCTAATTTTTGTATTTTTTCATAAAATCAGGGTTTCACTGTGTTCCTTAGGCTGGTCTCAAACTGCTGAGCTCAAGCAATCCACCCACCTCAGCCTCCCAAATTGCTGGATTATAGGCATGAGCTACCATTCCCGGCCCCTTGTCTTGTTCTGGAGAGTTATAAAGATAATGAGCATTTTCAGACATTTTCAAAAATGTATAGCAGTGGCTCATGCCTGTAATCTTAGCACTTTGGGAGGCTGAGACTGGTGGATCACTTGAACTCAGGAGTCTGAGACCAGTCAGGGCAATATGGTGAGACCCCCGTCTCTACTAAAAATCCAAAAAAAAATAGCTGAGTGTGATGATGCATGCCTTTGATCCCAGCTAATCGGGAGGCTGAGGTGGGAGGATTGATGCTCAAGCCTGGAGGGCAGAGGTTGCAGCGAGCTGAGATGGGGCCACTGCACTTCAGCCTGAGTGGCAGAGCGAGACTATGTCTGGGGAAAAACATGGAGAGAAATATTATGTTAATTTTTTAAGATAGGGTCTCACCATATTGCCCAGGCTGGACTCAAACTCCTGGGCTCAAGCGATCCTCCATCCTTAGCCTCTGAGTAGAACTACAGGCATGCACTATCATGCCTGACTGATTATGTTAAATTTTAATTCTAAAAGATTATAGATTTTGTCTATAGCTTCCAAACTAACAGGGAGGGTAGGAAAAGAAGATGGGGAAAGGCAAAGAAGAATGGGTAATGGGAAAGACAAAATAAGATATCAGGTCAGAAATTAATCTGATACACTAAAAAGCCACTCATTAACATATACTGACTGTAAGGTTGGATAGAGAAGCAAAATCTAGCATATACTATTTACAAGAGATATACCTAAACAAAATGACCTAGAAGGGTTATTAAAAAGAAATACCAGGAAAATACCAATCAAAATAAAGCTGGTGAATTCCAGACCCAAAGCCGGAGTTTAGAAAAATTAATAAGATACAGACTTTCAGTATTTCCTGTGTGGCTAGCTTCAAAGATACATTCTACCTGGCATCACTTACCTATTTATCTTATCTTTCTAAATCAATTTCCACAAATATTTATGAGTAACTGTGAGTTAGGTAATATAGTAGAGACAAAGATGAGTACAACCTAAGTGCTTCCTTCATAGAACTGACAGTCTAACAGGGGAAAGTCCAGTAACTTTAAAACAAAGTAGCAAATTGTGAGCACCGTTAGAGAGTTACACGTGAGACATGATGGAAATTGGGACTGGGAGATAAAATCGGGAAAAGACTTTACACAAAATTTGCCATTTAAAATGGTCTTTAAAAGCTGTCCCGAAGCTATAATTTCACTAGACCATGACCGAGACATCAGCTTTTTTCCCCTTAGAGTATGAAGCACACTTTGGGACTACTTCTTTGCTGGATAGCTTCATAAATTTAGGATACAGTGTTATCATTTCAGACTTCATTTGCTGGAAATGCAGCTTACTGCATTTACCTATAACAGCTCATTTGCTGTATTTTTCATTTTCCCTTGCTTAAGACAACAGCACTGCATGGTTAGGTTAACACTTTCATTGCTCTTGAAAACTGTTTTCTAATCTTTTTTTTTTTTTTTTTTTTTTTTTGAGACGGAATTTCGCTGTCATTACCCAGGCTGGAGTGCAATGGCGCGATCTCGGCTCACCGCAACCTCCACCTCCTGGGTTCAGGCAATTCTCCTGCCTCAGCCTCCTGAGCAGCTGGGATTACAGGCACATGCCACCATGCCCAGCTGATATTTTTGTATTTTTAGTAGAGACGGGTTTTCACCATGTTGACCAGGATGGTCTCAATCTCTTGACCTCGTGATCCACCTGCCTCGGCCTCCCAAAGTGCTGGGATTACAGGCGTGAGCCACGACGCCTGGCCCCGTTTTCTAATCTTTTGTCAGATAATGTCCTCATGCTTCTTCAGAGTGTCTTAGAAGTAGATGTCTATGCTAGCTCTCCATGAAAGAAGGGTATGTGGCCGGGCACGGTGGCTCACGCCTGTAATCCTAGCACTTTGGGAGGCCGAGGTGGGTGGATCACCTGAGGTCAGGAGTTCAAGACCAGCCTGGCCATCATGGTGAAACCCCATCTTTAAAAAAAAAAGAAAAAGAAAAAGAAAGAAGGGTATATAATTTGCTTTTTCATACAGTGCTGTTAATATTAACAGGAAGGAACTGATTTTATCCTAAATGAAAACATACTCTATATTAAAGACAAGTTAGACACTTTCCCATGAAGTTGGTCTGGGAGAAGGAAAACGGAATAGATGGCTCCTGAAATGTTTTCCTGTTTCATTCAGAGTCAGAATTTTCCCCTAGCCCCTTTAAATGGCCAGCAAATGAAAACTGGCATTTGGAATTACCACCATTCCTCCATTGCTTGCCATCTTCAATTTAACGTCTGCTTTTCCACAAAGATTAACATGTTTTCCACTCATGATTTACTTCTCAGGGAATTTAGGAGTTTTCTGGAACCTAAAGTTTGCTCTGGTAGGGATGATTACTGGATAACTGCCTATTCTTTGGTGGAATTTCCATTTTTAGATTATACCAGGCTCTACAGCCTTTATTTCTTTGGCAGGAAAACCCAAAGGCAATGGAGTATTTTTTTTCCCTTCCCTGGCCCAGCTTAAACAATGACTCACTTGGGCCCTGGGGCTTTGCTTCATACTCTCATCTAGGGGCCATATTATACCCTTGTTTCTAGTTTCCTTTCTTGTTCTGTTTGGACCCTTTATGTCCTTTGGCACATGGGATTTGTCTCTGGGGTTACTGTCAGAGAGATATACAATACCACCCCAAACTGGAACAGATACTCCAGTTATAGCCCCATAAGCCGTGTGATCCTGATGGCAGCTGGTATAGGCCAGGGAGAGTACAGACAGAATTTTTTTTTTTTTCTTGAGACCGAGCCTCACTCTGTTGCCCAGGCTGGAGTGCAGTGGCATGATCTCGGCTCACCGCAACCTCCTCCTCCCAGGTTCAAGCGATTCTCCTGCCTTGGCCTCCCAAGTAGCAGGGCCTACAGGGGCCCGCCACCATGCCTGGCTAATTTTTGTATTTTTCTTTTTTTTCAGTCTCCGTAGAGACTGTGAAAAATTGCCAAAGCCAACTATATTTCAAGTTGTCATGGCGGGGTATTGGGAAAATTTTCAATTAGCAATAATCGTGCCTCGGATAAACCTCATTGGCTACGATACTGCCACCGTGCAAAGCTAATTTTTGTATTTTTAGTAGAGACGGGGTTTCACCATGTTGGCCAGGCTGGTCCCGAACTCCTGACCTCAAGTGATCCACCCTCCTTGGTCTCCCAAAGTGCTGGGATTATAGGCGTGAGCTACTGTGCCCATTCCAGAAAGAATAGCTTTAAGGAAACATAATTCCAGATGGAGTAGAGGGAAAAGTATTCTCCAAAAAGATATGAGTGCCATTGTCATCCGGTTAGAGGCTGAAAGACTTTCCTCCTTATGAGATGCTTTAATGACTGATTCAGATGTCCTCTATGTACCTATGGAAGGTGGGAAGCGCTCAGAGGAACTGGCCTCCAAGAGTTTTCAGAGTCATATGGTTATATGAAGAGACTCCTCAGAGTTTTGCTGGGGAAAAAAATTCCCCCTTTTCGGCAGTGGTTCTCTCTGGTCTCAATTTTTCATTCTGATTCCATCCTGCTGGATTCCATCTAATGATGATTTCTTGATTTTTCTCTTTGCAGTTTTAACAGTGTATGCCAGGGAACTCACATTCTCTTTCGGGAATTCAGCTTCATCCAAGCCACCCCTCACAATAGAGTATCATTTTTACGGGCCTTCTGGAGATGCTTCCGAACCGTGGGCAAAAATGGCGGTAAGTCTTCCCAAATTCTTTATTCCTTTCTTTCAAATTTTTCTTTTGTTCCTATAAATATTGTTTGAATGCATGCTATTCAAGATGTTTAGAATCCCGCACTTTTGAGGAATTGTCTGGTTTATGTCAGAGGTATTACTATTACCACTGCTATCACTAATGATACCCATTAAGAGCCAAGTGTAGCTCTGAGCACTTTACATGTAGTCACTCCTTTATCTTTACAAGGCTCTCTGTGGTAGACACTATAATCACCATTTTGTAACTAATGAAAATTAGGACCAGAGAGGTCGAGTAACCTGGCAAGATTATATAGTAAATGTTGATTTACACCCAGGCAGTCTGACTCCACAGCCCTTGCTCTTGGCAGATATTAAAATGCCATGCGGTAAATACAAGGAAAAATGTCAATCCTAAGAAAGAAACTCCCGAATGGCAGTGGGATGGGGATACTGTTGTCAGAGAAGGGAGAGAAAAGTGGAGTAGCGAAGGTCCTCTTAGATCAACTGGCTACTTGATCTAAGGTGGGAAGAAAGAGTAGGAATCGTTCACATGGATGAAGGAATGGGCATCCTAGGTAGAACACACGCTAAAGCACAAAAGAACCTAGAATACTTCAGAAACAGACCAGAATGTCTAGAGTTTGTGTGGAGTTTGTGAAGGAGGTTAGGGGAGATGAGTCTGTAAATGAATAACAAACCTGCTGACAGATTATTTTTTAGCCATAAAAAAGAAATTGGGCCAGGCGCAGTGTCTCAGCCTGTAATTCCAGCACCTTGGGAGGCCAAGGTGGGCGGATCACTTGAGATCAGAAGTTCGAAGCCAGCCTGGCCAACATGGTGAAACCCCGTCTCTATTAAAAATACAAAAATTAGTGGTGGTGCTTGCCTATAATCCCAGCTACTCAGAAGGCTGAGGAGCGAAAATCGTTTGAAACCCAGGATCAGAGGTTGATATGAGCCGAGATTGTGCCACTGCACTCCAGCCTGACAGAGTGAAACTGCCTCAAAAAAAAAAGAAAAAAAAAAAGTTAAATTTTATTCTCTGGGTATTATTTGAAGGCTTTTTTTTTAAAGACCCTGTTGCCCAGGCTGGAGTGCAGTGGCATGATCATAGCTCACTATAACCTTGAGCTTCCGGGCTCAAGTGATCTTCCTAACTCAGATCACTTGAGGTCAGGAGTTCAAGACCAGCCTGGCCAACATGGTAAAACCCCCTCTCTACTAAAAATACAAAAATTAGTCGGGTGTGGTGGCACGCGTCTGTAGTCCTCGCTATTCAGGAGGCTGAGGCAGGAGAATTGCTTGAACCTGGGAGGCAGAGGTTGCAGTGAGCCGAGATTGCACCACTGCACTCCAGCTTGGGTGACTGAGTGAGACTCTGTCTCAAAAAAAAGACAGTTTTTGTATTGATTCTAACTAAAAAAAGAGGAAGGCCTAAACTACTTCCTTATTCATTTAACAAATATTGCTGGCAGACTTACTATGTGCCTAGTGCTGAGGCTACAGTAAGTGAATAGTTAGATACCCTGCTTTTGAATTTAGAGATTCTCCACCATGCTCTAATCAATGCTACTGCTACTGAAACTGTAACTTTTCTAAATAGCTACTAAATATATAGCTATTGAACTTTTATATATACTTGCTTTCTGAGGAGAAATTCATGGGAAAAGAAAAAATACATATATATAGTTGCTAAATCTTTTCTAAAACTTTTCCACCCAATATGTTATTGGTTCCACTATCCTAAGAAGTAGGTAAAGTGGGCATTATTGTGCCCATTTTTTAAATAATAAAATTGTATAACTTGCAGAAAGATTTCACAGTGGGTTAGTAGAAAGCTAGAAATAGAACCTGAATTTACTAATATGCTGATAAATTTACTATTATGCTGATGTGTTATTTCTACTATTTTACTTCAATCATTGCCTCTTTGACATGTAACTGTGGAGATCATGCATCTCCATTACAATATTATGCAAGAAGTACTTAGTGTACTGAGGATCATATCATTTCCTTTACAGAATAAATGCGCTAACTGGCAAAAACCAGTGTAATGGGGACTCAATTTTAAGTGAAGTAACTCAGAAAAACTAGTCCATTGGTTTCTATGTAAACAAACTGGGAACTGTGAGTGTATAGGGAAAGTCTGTACTATATGATCAGAGCTTGTGTTTCCCAGTCCCTTATTCAGTCAGCAAATATTTGTTGTATACCACCTAGAGTCCTCTGTGGTCGCCGGCATAAATAAATGACCCTGCAATCTGGCATACTTTTGTCTTGTGGTAACTTTCTACACTCGGTCAAATACAACACTAGTACAGTCGTCTCTCAGTATATCCAGGGATTGGTTCCAGGACCCCCGCTTATACCAAAATCCATGCGTAATCAAGGCCTACATTCGTCCTGTGGAACCCTCGTATATGGAAAGTCAGCCTTCTGTATACAGGGCTTCATACCCCTAGAATAGTGTATTCTTGATCCATATTTGGTTGAAGAAAATCCACCTGTAAGTGTGGACCTGCACAGCTGAAACCTGTGTTGTTCAAGGATTGGCTGTATTGAAGAATACAACTAAAGCTAGCTTCTGTGATATACATATGGAGATAACTATGGAAAAAGGTCTTCAGATAGCCTTCACTGTTTTCCTGATGCAGAAGTGGGGCCTCTTCAAGAATGTATTTACTATCACAAGGGATTCATATAGCATTTGGACTCTTAGCAGATGTGGGTTTCTTTATCTTTCCAATAGCAGCTGCCAGTGACTCATCCAGCTGCTAAGAATAAGCAGCTCCAAATCCTCCCTGTTTCCCCTTGTGCCATAAACAGGACCTAGCTGACTGTTTGCTGTCATGCTTCTTAATCAGACAGCCTCAGATTTCTTAGACTAATGCAACATCTGTGTTTAGGTGATCGTAAAATCATTGATTAAGTAATTTTAATAAATTCTCAGCTTTTTCTAGGAAACTTTAGAACATCTTTCTAAACCAGAATGTGTCAATCCTCAATTTTAATCCAGAATGAGTGAAAACTCTTGGAGGCAAGGTTCTAAAGTAAAGGATTTATTAAGCCCCATTTTATCAATTACAATGCCAGGTACCTATCTACTCAGTGGAGTTCCTACTGCATTGTTCTTCTGCAGATAACTTCCTTAGAACGTCATGTGCATATTTTAGCATTATCAAGTGGAAACTAAGTCTTCTGGGAGGCAGCAAAAGAAGAGCACAACATATCTAAAAATCAAGCCACATGTAGAAATTCCAGGACCTGGTCCCTTTTGATAAGAAATATTTTATTCTAGTTTTTAGCAAGTACAGGGGTCTAATATCATTTCTGCATGACTGAGTACTGATGTTAATTATCCTGTCCAAATCTTAGATAATCTTATGAAGACTGGAGTGAACCTCTTGCTATCTAAGAAACTTTAGACCCTTGGAGGCCAAATGTTATATTAGAATTTTAAAAGCCTTTAAAATTATATATCTCACTTTGCTAATTTTTTTGGTATAGAAGTATTAATCTGAATTTTCTAAGTCTGGCAAAGATTGATATTCTCTTGATGTAAATTTTTACTTCTGTTTAGGGATATGAGCTCAAAAGAGCCTTCTCCAATCTTATTTTCAGTAAAAATTTAATTTTGAATATATACATACATATATATATATATATATATATATATATATA